TATGTATAAAAAATATTTATGGGAAAGAAAAATGCACAAATTATGTAGTTTTTCTCTTATAACCGGAAGTTGTCATTTTAGTTTTCGGTGGGACTGATGTATTTCAAAAATACAAATAAGATATTATATTGTGATGCAAAAAATGTTTCATGCAAGAAAAATTAAAAATTTTGATTTCTGGATCACTTCCTGTGACGACCGGAAGTGACGGCGGACGATTTTATCCCAGCTGAATTTGCCTACTTATCAAGATCTACCACATATGTAAGTTTGGTGCCTTAATCTCTTATCGTTTACGAGATCTAGCTATGATAACTTCTCAATTTGAGGACAGAAAATCACGCGACCGGAAGTGAATTTTACAAAGATATTTGACGTTACTGTAGACATCTGCAGTCTGAATAACATATCCAAAAATCATTTCAAATACATTACGTATAAAAAATATTTATGGGAGAGAAAAATACTGAAAATATGCAGTTTTTCTCTTATAACCGGAAGTTGTCGATTTTGTTTCCGGTGGGACTGATATATTTCGAAACTACAAACAAGATGCTATAATGTGATGCAAAAAAGTTTCAAAAAAGAAAAAGTTGAAATTTTCGATTTTTTTACCACTTCCTGTGACGACCGGAAGTGACGGAGGACGGACTTAAACATATTGCACAAATCTACTAGTCATGATCTATTATTCCTGAAAGTTTTATGTCTTAATCTGTTACCGTTCCTGAGAAATCTTCCGGACATGATCTCTTTTGTAAAAACGGAAATCGGACATATTTGACGAACGGAAGTGAATTTTGAAACACTGAAAACTACATTTGGAAGATATTTTTACTATCTATCATCCCTGAAAATTTCACGAGAATCCATCCAGTCATCTCTGAGAAATCGTCAAAAAAGGAAAAGGGAAAATAAAATAATAATAATAACTAGAGCAAAGCTCGTTGCAAAGCAACGAGTAGGTCTTCCGTCATGTTTGACCGGAAGTGGCTTTCATTTTTAACAGAAATGAGAAATAACGTACAAAAGGCTTGATTCCTCTAAATCCATGCTAATTATTGCAAAAATAAGCCATTTTCTGTTACTTCCGGTTTGACCGGAAGTGACGACAACGGACGGAAAATTAATTATAAAGCTCCCAGAGACATATGTTACCAGAAAACTTGTCAAGAACGGCAAAAATACGCGTTTTCCGACTACTTCCGGTTTGACCGGAAGTGACGACGCCGGACGTATTTTGACGACTTTAATAGATTAAGCTTGACATTCTGAACAATTTTGCTTCTTTGACGTATCACAAATTCTCAATACTTTTTGAAATATAAAGGATAACCTTTCGGTCCCTCTAGGCCCTTAATTTTAGGGGCCAGCCCTTTTTTCGAGATATCGTTTGAAAGATCTTGAAATTTTACACCTTTTTTGTTCTACATGCTTTAACAAAATATTTCTAGGTAAAAAGTTATCGTTGAAAAAGTGCTTAAAATTTTGAAATTCTTGATAGGACTATTTTCGGGCCATAGCGTGCGTTGGCGCTTCATACTTCCGGTAGTTGTGATATACTTAGTGCACTTCTACAAAAGTTGCTCTAGCATCACTGAAAATTTCAAGCTTCTGTGTTAAGCGCTTTTTGAGAAAACTGCCGGACAAAGTGACCCTCTAAAAATCAATTAATCGCAGAAAACTCCGAACCGGAAGTGACGTCATCAAAATAAAAAAATATATATCTAGATTTTTTAATGTTCTATCAGACCTGAAAGTTTCATGAAAATCGATCGAGCCGTTCTCGAGAAATCGCGCGTACAAAATCGGTAAGAAAAAAAAAACAATAATAACTAGAGCAAAGCTCGTTGCAAAGCAACGAGTGGGTCTTCCTTCCTAGTGATAAGCAAAAGATTAAATGTTTCTGTCTAGATTGTCAACTTTGCTAATATTCTCTTTTTCGATTTGTCTCAGAAACCCTTACTTGAATTCTTTAATTTGGTGTGAGCATGAGGTCTAAAGGGTACTCTCTCTAACAGCATTCTTGAAATCGTATCCACAACAGTTTAACTTCCAATATTATGACTTTTGATATCGGATATATCATGTTTGTTGCAATTATGTTTGTGAAACGTGTCATACTACAGAAACATAAGTGTTTTGCTACATTACCATCTTAAAAATGGCTTTAAAATCATTTATTATACAATATAACTAGGTAAATAAAATAAACAAATTATATAATAATTCAAAAAATCCAAATGTATTTACAATAATGATGAACAATCTTCATTAGTTGCAATCAGTAAGTAGAACAATACTTTTATAATAAACGCACAGAAATGTGTTGTGTATGTTTCGAATTTGCAGCTTTCCACTAGCAACTGGTGGTACCTCAATAGGAGTGTAAAATTCTCTGAAAGGTATATTGTAAACATATTACATATGGCTGTGTATTCTTTTTAAGCGGCTTTGGCGGAATGCAGCAATCACTAAATCGAGTACAAAGCTAAAAGTCTTGTACATAAACATAAATAAGAATATCTATGCTAACTTATTCAAAAGTCAATTTCCACCAAATATTGTACAAGCTAAATATAATACATTTACAGCATTAAAGAAACAAATCTCTTTGAAGGTATTGCCCTGCATAAGAACAATTTGAATCCCCTACACTAAGGATGCTCTGTGCCAAGTTTCACTTTGGTTCTGGAAAATGATATTGTGAAATTTTAGACAATGATGATAATGGATAAAATTATGTTTTTAAACAAGAGGCCCATGGGCCACATCGCTCACCTGAGAAGCTTTGACCATTCTGTTCTTTACCAGATTTCCCCCTTGTTATACATAATGCATCCCCATCCTACCCCACTGATCATAATTTAAACATTTTGAAATCTACACTACCCCATGATCCTTCCATGGTACATCTGTTTCAGCTTTTTTGGCCCAGTGGTTCCCGAGAAGAAAATTTTCAAAGATTTTTCCTATATATTTCTATATGAAAACTTTGATTCCCTATAATGGCCCCACCCTTTCCCCAGGGGTCATGATTTCTACAATTTAGAATTTACACTACCCCAGAATGCTTCCACATGAGCTTCACTTTTTCTGGCCCAGTGGTTCTTGAGAAGAAGATTTTCAAAGATTTTTCCTATATATTTCTATATAAAACTTTGATTCCCTATTGTTGCCCCGCCCTTCCCCTGGGGGTCATTATTTTAACAATTTAGAATCTACATTATACTAGGATGCTTCCACATAAGTTTCAGCTTTTCTGGCCCAGTGGTTCTTGAGAAGAAGATTTTCAAAGATTTTTCCTATATATTTCTATATAAAACTTTGATTCCCCATTGTGGCCCCGCCCTTCCCCCGGGGGTCATGATTTGAACAATTTAGAATCTACACTACCCCAGGATGCTTCCAATTAAGTTTCAGCTTTACTGGCCCAGTGGTTCTTAAGAAGAAGATTTTCAAAGATTTTTCCTATATATTTCTATATAAAACTTTGATTCCCCATTGTGGCCCCGCCCTTCCCCCGGGGGTCATGATTTGAACAATTTAGAATCTACACTACCCCAGGATGCTTCCACATAAGTTTCAGCTTTTCTGGTCCAGTGGTTCTTGAGAAGAAGATTTTCAAAGATTTTTCCTATATATTTCTATGTAAAACTTTGATTCCCCATTGTGGCCCCGCCCTTCCCCCGGGGGTCATGATTTGAACAATTTAGAATCTACACTACCCCAGGATGCTTCCACATAAGTTTCAGCTTTTCTGGCCCAGTGGTTCTTGAGAAGAAGATTTTCAAAGATTTTTCCTATATATTTCTATATAAAACTTTGATTCCCCATTGTGGCCCCGCCCTTCCCCCGGGGGTCATGATTTGAACAATTTAGAATCTACACTACCCCAGGATGCTTCTACATAAGTTTCAGCTTTACTGGCCCAGTGGTTCTTGAGAAGAAGATTTTTTAATGACCCAACCCTATTTTTGTCTTTTCTTGATTATCTCCCCTTGCGAGGGGATATGTCCCTTCATTTTAAGAATTCAAATTCCCCTTTACCCAAGGATGCTTTGTACCAAGTTTGGTCAAGATTGGCCCAGTGGTTCTTGAGAAGAAGTCGAAAATGTGAAAAGTTTACAGACGGACAGACGGACGGACGACGGACAAAATGTGATCAGAAAAGCTCACTTGAGCCTTCGGCTCAGGTGAGCTAAAAAGTTACTGGTTCCTTTAGCTCAGATGGGCTAATAAGTATGCAATAGGCACAGTTTTGCAGTTGACATTGAAATGCGACTGGACATCTCTTCAATCTTGTTTTAGAAAACTACATGTACATGCCCTATGTACTGAATTCCTTGGAATCATACACATGTTTATGCCTTTAATTAGTTGTATGTGCCAAAATAACAATTTTTTTTACATTATACTGTAAAAAATACACATACATGTATTACAAGATCTTCTATTCCTGCTGAAGACACTGAGGATCTATCTTAATCATTAGAATAAGTAAGTCTAAACTTTGAAAGGGAAGACCTAAATAAAGAGGTCAACATGCTACACAAACAAAATATTATTATATTTAAAAATAACATTTATTCCAATGTAATTACTGGTACATGTATTTCTGTTACAAAAACTATTTCACTTGAAAAACTGAGAGCAATTGATATGTTCATATTTGTGGATTTATGTTGTCAAATCAAAATTTAAAAATGATACACAGTGTGTTTAAAAATTGTCTTCACAAACCAAAACTTGACTTATTTTCACTATGCTGTTTATTCCATGTCACATCCAAACAGATGATCTTCTGGCAAATCATGGTCATGCTTGGTATCAAAATTCAGTCTTCAGATGAGTCACACCTATCCAAAAGAAATTGAAATTTTTTAATCTATAATTCTTTTACTAATAAAAAGTGCAATTCATGAGATTATAAATTAGATTATCAAATTGAGAGATAAGATATTGTCACATTTTCTGTCTATAATTTGTAAATTTTAATGTACTCTTTCATCAATTAAAAGAAGTTTACACCAATCAAGGCAGTCATTTATGCTATTCCCTAATAAGACAACATACAAGTGCAAAGTAATCATGCACTAGTGGGTTTAGGATAATGTGCTAGAGTATTTATGACAACATACTAGCATGAGGTGACAATGTGCTAGCATGTACGTCAGTGATAATATGCCAGCACACTGAATCCAACATGCAGTGAAGCTAACACTCAATAGATTGTTTAAAGTTGTGTTTGCATGATATTTTGTTTTGTGTTAACACAGCAGCGTGTTGTTTAAAGCTGCATTGGAGTGGCAGTCTGTTGAAATTAACATGCTAACACACTGCAACTTCACATCATTGGAACACCATAATTTTAAAACTGACAAACCAATATCTTATGATTACTAACTAGGTAATTGCAACTGTAAATGCTGATTTCATGGTGACAATAATACCGGTAATTCACTGTATATCTGAGAACTGATCAATTATAATAAGGCGTGTCCAGATAGGGCCACTTGCTAAAGCTCAATAGCACTTTCATAAAAGCGTGCCATCTTACCGACACAAAAGACGCCATTAGGCTATCACACAGCTCGCCATCACAACACTGAAAAACACTTTCGCTCTAACACAAGTTCGCACCACACGCTGTCACACTAACACACAACACACTGTCACGCTAATACAATTTCACACAACAAAATATCAGGCTAACACGAGTTCACACAACACACTTTCATGCTAACACGAATTCACAAACACGCTGTCTCGCTAACACAAGTTCACACAACACGCTGTCTCGCTAACACAAGTTTTACACAACACGCAGTCTCGCTAATACGAGTTCATACAACACACTGTCTAGCTAACACAAGTACACACAACACACTGTCACGCTTAGATGAATTCACACAACACACTGTCACAATAACATGAGTTTACACAACACGCAGTCTCACTAACACGCGTTTACACAATACACTGTCACGCTAACACGAGTTTACACAATACACTGTCACGCTAACACAAAGTCACAAAACAGGCTGTCTCACTATTCACTAACACAAGTTCGCACCAAATGCTGTTGCGATAACACACTGTCAACCTTATACCATTTCACACAACACACTGTCAGGCTAACACGAGTTCACACAACACACTGTCACGCTAACACGAATTCTCAAAACAGGCTGTCTCACTATTCACTAACACAAGTTCGCACCAAACGCTGTTGCGATAACACACTGTCATCCTAATACCATTTCACACAACACACTGTCATCCTAATACCATTTCACACAACAAACTGTCAGGCTAACACAAGTTCACACAACACTGTCACGCTAACACAAATTCAAAAAACATGCAATATCGCTAACACGAGTTCACATAACACGCAGTCTGGCTAACACGGGTTCACACAATATGCAATCTTGCTAACACGAGTTCACACAACACACTATCTCTCTAACACCAGTTCACACGACAAATTTTCAGGATAACAAGTTCACACAACACACTGTCACGCTAACACGAATTCACACAACATGCTGTCTCGTTAATAAGAATACACACGCTAACATGAGTTTACACAACACGCAGTCTCGCTAACACGAGTTTACACAACACGCAGTCTCACTAACACCAGTTTACACAACATGAAGTCTCACTAATACGAGTTCAATCAACACTCTGTCTAGCTAACACGAGTTTACACAACACACTGTCACACTTACACTTTATACACGATTTTACACAACACGCTGTCCCGCTAACATGAGTTTACGCAACACATTGTCAAGCTAACAAGAATGCACACAACCCACTGTCAGGCTAACACAATTAAGTTCACAAAACACACTGCCTTGCTAACACAAATTCATACAACACACTGTCTCGCTAACACAAGTTCACACAACACACTCACATTGCTGAGTTTAAAGTAAAGGTCTACCCTAATTTGAAGAGGTTTAAAACTAACATATCTCTATATTAGTAAAAAGCTTCAAATTTAAGACAAAAACATTTATGCAGTAATGTTCCTTAACATGCATCTGGCATATAAAATGAATGAGACCTTAAAAACCTCACAGTACATGTTCACTTAGCTAATTAAAGGTCTAAATTGATGCTATTCAACAATATATATCAACATCTCTAAGTATGTGAATGAGTGAAATTCTCAAATAAATATTATAAATCAAAGTATCAATAAGAAGCTGAACCTTACGTCGCAGGTTCCAATCCCATTGCTAAATGCTTTAGACAGGTTACTCCTATGAGACTGCATAAACCAAGATTCTGTGTCACGGTAGGTGTTAGCACAAAATGGATCTCATACTTCTTAAAGGCAATAAGTGCTGAGTACAAGTCTATATTTGCAGCTAATACCATCCCAAGTGGTGGCACCATGAAATGACTGAAAAATGTATGATTAAGGCAAATAAACAAACATTAAACCATTACAGCAGTCTTATCAAACAAAAAAAGCAAACTTTCTATTATTACAATTTTTTTAAACAAATTTCTTTTGCAATTTAACTGAGCAATATTTGTCCTTTTTTGTCAGTAAAGTATGATATTAAATAATTAAGACTTTTTGAGAACATCTATTTATAGCGAGTCCAGACAGCAGCACAAATCCCTGCCCATAATGCGAGCTCTTATGATAAGACCTTGGCAAAAGAAGATTGTGACTTGCACATTGCTCCACACAATTTTTCCGCAGTATACTTTGGACACACAGTGCTTAGCTTCTTTAACATGTTTAAGCTACATTCAAAATTCATTTCTATTTAATTTGAATTAGCTATCCTTACTCATGTTCACATGGAGCTAATGGGAAGTAATTTAACGAGCAGTGAATTCATTCGAATTAAACATTTGAATAATCTCTCAGTGTGAACATTGAGCATGGATGCACCAAATATCAAATGCGCCTTGACAAGCACAATCTAAATTAAAACTAAATAAGTATCTGCCCTCACCCTTACAGTCACACTGTCAATATATAATTAGTTGAATATATTCTGTAACATTAAGTGCAGTTTGAATTATAGAGTATGATCACTATGATAGATAGTAGGACTGTTGAAATTACATCCTCAAATTTAAAAAAAATAAAATATAAAGCTGTGGGGATTTACAAGGCAAACAGAGAGCGTCTGAACTGTAAAACAGATAATATATCGGTGTGTCTGTGTATTTCTAATAACATCAATGTACGTCACTGTCATGTAATCAGTAGTGTAAATTTTAAGTAATAAAAATATTCTAACCTTCATTCCAATGGTCCAAGCCAATCATACATTAAAATGTCGCCGTCAGCTCTTTCATCACTCGATACAATTATCACTGGGGAATCCGAAGCAGAGTCAAGAGTGTTCATCCTTGTTAATGTGACAGTCAGAATTTCCTCGTAAACAATTTACACAAGATTCTTAGAATATATGAATCGGGATAATTCTGCTTAGAATAATGTTCCAGAGAAGTGACAAAGTACTTCGTAGCTCCAGATTAAATGAGTGTGCATGTCTACAAACGGATTCTTTGTGAGAAAATGTTCAACTTCACAAATCATTCTATTTTAATTTTCAGTTTGTAAACCATGACAAACATGTGTCCGACGTCGACTCGAAGGGGCACACTAAAAACGGGATATACTAGAGACCTGATATTTACTTGACGTTCTAATTTTTAATTAAATGGTAATATTGAGTATTTTAAATTACTTATGTACAGACTTTATGACTTCGAGGCACATGCTATACAAAAATTCAATTGTTTGGAACATTTACAGACAAATTTGAATCAGGTCAAATAAGTGTTTAGTACATCGCGTCTTTAGTACCTTCCTATTTCCCACAATGCCGCGCGTTGTTTACAAACAAGCGCGAAAAAATCCTCTAAACTAGGTACTAATTATTGTTGTGTACATTATCACATTTTTAAAATTATTTGAATAAAAAGAAAACAAAGAAACACCGAATCAAAACTATATCTTTTAGATGCATCAACTAAAAATGTGCACATGTATGCAGTAAAGGCTTGGCTGGCTATAGTAGACAACTTGTTCCTGAAAGGTTTCTCACATACATGTACTTGTTTTATATAAAAAAACAATTAAATATAGCTGGAAGTTTATTTCTTTTTATATCAAATGACAAGATTTTATAAGTTCGAAATTATTTCAGTCAAACTTTTTCATAATATACCAATATTTTTAGCTATCAGAAAAAACGTGTATGAGCTATTAACCCCTAATTATAGGGGCCAGCCCCTTTTCATTAATCTAATATGAAAGCTCTCGTAATAACCCACAACTTTTGTTATATATTTCTTACCAAATTATTCTCGGTTCAAAAGTTATTACACAAAAAGTAGCAAAAATTCAAGAAAAAAAATTACTAAAATTTGCCGTTTTATAGCTTCCAAACTTTAGGAAATCAGCTTATAATTTTATCGTTCTGCACATCTACAATGTATTGGCTACAAGTTCTCCAACTTTCGTGTAAATATCTTACGTCGTTCTTGAGATTTTTAGTGGAAACGAGACATCAAAATTATCAATTAAAGGGCAATAACTCACAATTAAAGGCATGTATCAAAAAATTGAAAACAGGTGTAAATAGGTTTAATTACAAGGTATCTAACCTGAAAGTTTCATAAAAATCAGTCCAAAGGTCTTTGAGAAATCGCCTGTCAAAAATCGAGCGGGAAAAAAAAAATAAAATAATAATAAGAAACAGTAGAATAACAGTAGGGTCTTCCGAAGGAAGCGGAAGACCCTAATAAAAATAGTGGAAAAGAAACCTAAGAAAAACAATAAGGTCTTCCGCTGAAGACGGAAGACCTTAATAATAATAATAATAATAAAAAGAAACAGTAGAATCACTATAAGGTCTTCCGTCTGAAACGGAAGACCTTAATAAGAAAATCGACAAAAACAATATGTCTCCCCTTCGGAAGGGGAGACATAATTAGCACGAAGTACAGTGTATTCAAAGAAATAAAGCAGACACGCGACACAGAAGAAAGAGGAAGGATTTTTTCTACATTTTTTGTACAACATGAGAAGGTGTTCAACAATAAAAAAAATTGAAAAGCTCAAAAGGTCTTTCTTCAAAATATTTATTTTAAATCCACAGCTAAAACTAATTCCGGAAGAAGTGTCAAAATCAAATACTACATATCGTATCTTTAGAGAATACTTTAAAAAAAAAAAAACTATTTATCAATAACAGTTCACGTTTTATTTATATAAACGGCAACGTTAACTGTCCCAACCCTTTTAAAACCGTTAACATTGGGTTAAATTCATTCTATAAGTAAAAGAGAAGTAATTTAGGTCAATTTTCATTGCATCGCTATTTAAATAAAAATACCTTAGTTTAATGCTCCTGTTAAATTGCATGTGCATTACGATGAAACAGCTGGACATTAAACTAAAAAAAACTTTAAAAACTTGTTTGTTTGACCTTTTAAAATGAACCGACTAAAATATTTTTAAAACTTCCAAATTATTCATTCCGGGATTTTCTCATCCTATCAACAACTTATATGCATTTAATCTTTTACAACACTGAAAATTTCCGACAAAAAAAAAATTCGACCTACCTACCAATGTAATTTTTTAACCCGAATAGGGAGAAGGCAAACAAACTTCATTTTAAAAACGGACTTACGGGAATTTTTCAGCCACCACTGGAAATCTTTAAAAAATACACACTGAATTGTGAAAAGGAGATATCACACAGCCACTTGACGGAGAATAAATATTTTATAGATAAACTACATCAAATTCCACCCAAGAATCTGTCTAAGTATATAAATAAAACAACATCCCCCTGTTCTATTGCGGAGAGTTTCTCTCAAGGAGACGTTTTTACGTCGCATTTACCTTGTTGACTTTAGACGCGTCTTTTGACGTTACGTCATAATAGACATAAGGGAGGTTTTTGCTTGGCGCGTCACATATATTTTTCAAGTGCGGTATTATGACGTAACAATGGAGATATTCATGCTTATTCGTGGTACATATGTAATGTAGTTCATGAGAAAATGAACTGCATTTTATTTTGTAAAAAATCATAGGGGACATTTCTTGGAAATATAAATATAAGGAAATGTTCAATGATAATGTTGGCGTATCAAGTCGTGGAATGTCACGTGAGTAAAGTGATTATAACATAAAATATTTACATTTCCAAATAATTTTCCTTATAAAGATTCTTTGCAAATAGAGAATTGTTCATTTTCTCATGAACTACCATGGATGCGCGTGAATATTTTCATTGTCACTTCACAATACCGCACTTGACGTAAAAATATAGCGCAAAATGTTTTGCTTTAAAAATGACAGTTGAATGGTATAAATTCGTGGCTACTCAATAGAAAAATAATGTTAATATAAGAAATGAATTTAATTTTTGAAGATTCATGAGGTATATGAGCTACAATGCATTTCTTAATTGTTGACACTCGGGAACCTGTTAAATACATGTAAGTGGCGAACTCGACGATAGTTTGGAGACTTTTTCAAAAAATTAGATATTATCCGCAACTTGGCCAACATTGTTTGGATATGTATAAGTTTAAATTAAAATACACATTATGTGCAAATAAGACCAATGCATGGCCAAGTTGCGGGTCGTTGAAAACTAGTATGCATATGAATAACAATAGAAATGTGACAGGACTGTTAGACCCCCGCCTCAAAAGCTAGTGTCGCTCAGCATTATTTAGTACTTTCATGTAATATAATATAACGAAACCTGCTCTTAAGACATTGTGTAATATCTATAAAACATAAATTTAATGAATCATGGAATTTTATTTTGCGCAAAACACCAGGATCCAACTCTCATAGCTTACGTGCACTCATCCTTTACTGCATGCTTACTTTGATTTTTCAATAAACAATTCGATATCGGATTTATAAATTCTCTTTGTTGATGGTTCCAGAAATATGTTTCAATTTAATGTCTTTTATTTTAATTGGGTCTTGAAAATCGAAACATTTATTGATTAAACTAACAATATTGTGATCTTCAATGGCATTTTCTCTAAATGTTTACCCATACAGTTAGAGAGATTGAAAGCTTTATTTTTTAATGTTCATAGTAATATCAAAATAGTCGATCAAATATTATTTAAAAATAAATACCTTCACCGATCGTTGATGTTGAAATTTTAATAGGCCACCAATTGTCTTTGAAGACTAAATTTTGGGAAAACAAAATTTTTGGTATTCTGAATAAAATAAAAGAAAAAAATCTGTTTATGAATAGTTTTAATGCAGCTAATTCAGTACTGAAATGTAATTCACGATATGTACCTTAATTTTTGGAGAGACCAATTAAAGTTCGCACCTCATGCCTGGTGTTCAAGTCCATTTCATTCTGCAACGTATAAATATTTATAGTATAGTATTCAATGGATCATTTTTTCCTTTTCTCGGCTGTCTTACTGGACACATTCCTAGGATCTTATGGAGGTAATTTTTAAATCGTTAACAGTAAAAATATTTAATAATTATTTCATCAGAGGGTACAGGGAACTTTTATTTTCGGTTGTTATTTTTTCCCGATTTACCTATCTATTATAAAAGGGCGCTTTCATAAATCAAAGTATAATGCATATATCTTTTAACAAATAAAGCATGTATAATTTATGTGTCAATGTTTAAGCCGTTTCACGTGGTGAAAAGTGATAAATCAAAATTCAAAATTTGCAAAAAGTTCCCCTTGTAACTAGTTCTGATTTGATAGAATATTTTCTATGATAAACTTCGTTATATTAGTTTTATGTACTAATTACGTATGTTTTCAGTCATAAGCGGTTATGTCGGATGTTTTGAGGACAATTCTGGCAGGCTTTTGAAAGGCCCTGAGATTAAAACCCAGGAATCCATGTCGAACGCTCTGTGTATTAGAGAATGTTATTCTCTAGGATACCCATATTCAGGAACTGAGGTAAATGTACGAGGATTGTCTGGTAAACTCGAGGACAAAGCGTTTTTCTCGTAAAAGAATAGGCGCATTATGCTGAAATTGTCAGCAAATGTGTTTTTATCATATGAAAAAAACTTAGGTTCATCAGAGAATATATGAGTGTTATTTCCAAATTAAGGTATTAACTTGATTGGTTTCGCTAAATAATAAACGTATATTAAATTCACAATTTATTGTGACCTCAATTTGAGACTTGCAAGGTATTTACCTTATTTTGGCAGTTTCCCGAGCATTTGAAATGGGAAAGTGATAAACACAACACACGATGTGGGTATGTGAAATCGGTTTCTCGACTGTTAATGGAGAAATATGGAAAACACAAGCATGTGCATCAATAGTTTGAATTAATATTCTTAATTTTGTGGGGCTTTTTGGGGAAAAGGAAACGTGACGCTGTTTAGATACTTGACGTTTTCATCTGTGCGCCGTAAGGCGACACAGTACTTCAGAAAAAAATCATATTTTTTTTTATACATATATCTATTTGAAAATTGCTACGTTTATTCATGAGAAATTAACTAAATAGTTGTAAATTTTTTAGAATACAGTGATGACAATTTTTCAAACTAGGCAACTTGTCCACGATTTTACCAATCATTCCTCCGACATCCCTTAAATAATAATATGAGTAATTGTTTAACTAATACTTTCCGTTTTTCTCAAGACATGTTTATAACTAACTTTTTAATCTGGTTGTTTATTTGCAAATTTTTCCACCTACAATTTTTTTCACTCTTAATCAATTACCCGCTGACGGTAGCTGCAGAATTGTAGCTCTCTGCTTGAGAAAATTCGGACAGATAAAGCAGAAATCTGTCCGAATTTTCTAAAGCAAAAAGCTACAATTCTGCAGCTACACTGATGGCTGCATAGGATACATATACAAATTCTTCATGAGAAATAATGCAGTACATCAAAAATGACTATCATTCAAATCAAAAGTACGTGTCTTGTATCTATCAATCTATTGCTGTAACAGATTGACTGAGTAATAAACACATTAAATAAAGTTTCATTTGGCTAAAAAAAAAGCAGCTATTAAATAGGGATCGTTACACAATGAAACGTGGCTTGATTCTCATTGTAGTACGGACAGGAGTGTTTCTGTGGAAATGGCGAACATTTGTCCCCAGACTTCAAAAGAAATGATGCAGAATGCCTTTCTATGGTGTGTTTCGGAAACAAAAACGAATTCTGCGGCGGTTTTTGGAGGATTGCAGTATATTCTACAGGTCTGTTGCATATCAACTTTCATTGATTAGGGCCTTTAGAAATATTGCTGAACCTAAGTTAAAAATTAATTGTTTTTTTTATTCGTATTACGTGCTTAACAAAACAACCTATCAAACATACTTCAAAACGTAATTCTCACCTGCAATATTGAGAAACAAAGCAACAATCAAATGCATATTTCAATTGAAACAATGCAAATAAGGAACTCTTAAAACACCAGAGGTGTGATGAAGTGCCATTGAAGAGTAAGCATCTCATATCTACCTGCCACACCCGCCGTGTGCACCTTGTCATGAATGGAGATACAGGAAATCAGCACAAGTGGACAATACGGTGTGTTAATAATGGCCTAACAATTACGTAGTATGAAAACATTATTCAGCATAGGATGAATGATCATTTGTATTTGCAAGGTTTCAATTCATAATAGTTTATTTAAAAAAATATGTAAAGCAAGTTTGAAAGGATGTATTCGCTTTAAAGGTACTTGGACACAGATTTGAAGTTAATTTTTTCTGTATAATATCACGAATTATATATTTTAATAGCATTTCACACAAAAATTAATTAAAAATCTTATTTCATTTAAAAGTCATTAAAACTTTTAAGTTTTTGGCGGGTTTGATTGACACATCCTTTCACTTTCACAATTTTTAACTTTATTCTTAATGCTTAGGAAAAGTGACAATCTTGTTATGTATTAATGAGAAACATTAAAACTAAAATCCGGAAAATAATTTTATTTAGAGTAAAAATGTTAGAAAGCAAAACTCCTTCACAAGTATTGTCATTCCGTTGTGTACAGAGTTTAGCAAATCGAGCACACTCGTGTTATGTACACAGTTTTTGTAAACAGCGCGAAAGCTTTGTTATTGTTTGGTGTTTTGATTCACCGGGTGCGTTTAAACACCAAAGTCTGCTCACAACAACTACACGGACTGACAATATATTGTGTGTTTGTTTTGCTTTCGAACATGTCTACTCTGAATTTTCTGGATTATAGTATTAATACTTTTCATTAATAAACAACAAGAATGTCAATTTTCCTAAGGATTAAGAATAAAGTTAAACTTTGTGAAAGTGCAAAGATGTGTCAATCAAACGCGCCAAAAAAATTTAAATTTTAATAACTTTTAAACGAAATAAGATTTTTAATTAATTTTTGTGTGAAATGCTATTAAAATATATAAGTCGTAATATTATAGAAAAAATATTAACTTCAAATCTGTGTCCAAGTACCTTTAACAAAAGAATTGACCTATAGGAGAGAGCAATTTCCCGGAAAAAACGACATTTAAAAATCAATCTTTATTTGTTGTTTTCTACCGTATATATATGTCTAAATTTGTCAAATTTGTATTTGATACCTCAAATTTATTATTTACAACTTTACAATAAACCTCCAAAGTTGACCGAAACACCATTTTGTCCACAAAAGCATTGATTTTTGCATGAATTTTGGCCCTGAAGTCCTTCAGCGCAGGCCTGCCCCCAAATAAAATTGTGATATTTTGATAGGTTAGGATGTAAGGAATAAATTAAAGCTTTATATGCCGTATTGGTGTTTTATTTTAAAAGTAACAAGCTAATTCAGAGAATTTGTGTCCCCCGCTTAGCGAAAAAGTAAACTATGCGCAGTTCGTGGAGGAGGGGGGGGGGATGTCGGATCCCCCTGACTTAAGTTGTAAATAATTAAATTTGTACAATTATTAAATGTATACATGTATACTGAAGCAAATAAAATACATGTATGTCAATATGCATATAAAGATTTGATTGCTTATTCTTTATTATGTGTATAGAAGATTCTTTTTATATGGAATATTTATCACACTGTAATAATGATTTTATAACCTCATACATTTTTCATTTCACATGCTGAATACTATCATTTAGTAAAAAAAAGTATTTAAAAAAAAGTAGACCGAGATTCGATCCCGGGACCTCTCACATTTGAAGCGAGAGACATGACCACTGGACCACGGAATCGCTTTACTCGCTGTGAAGTATATGCAGAACTGAAGACGAGTGAAGTCACATAATTTTATATGTATATATTCATGTTTTCATGTTCGGTATTCTCAAAAATTTTACACAATCCATGGTGTTTGATTTATTTAGCCTTTATTAAACAGTTCTTATATGTAATAAGAACATAAAGTCCGCCGAGAACCTGTTTTATACGCAATAACTCTCCTCATGCCCCTGCGCTAAAAATAGCGACATGTAATACTATAAATACTAATAAAACAAACGGGGCGGGGCACTTTGAGAGGGGCGAGAGACGTCCTAGGGAGTTTTGGTATAAAATTACATTGCATAAGCTCAAAATCTTCTTGAAATATCGCCCGGAAATGATAGTATTACACACAGACAGAATGTATAAATTTACGACCTTGAACTTTGACCTTTTGACCTCAAAATCAATAGGGGTCTTCATTAGGCCACAGGGAGTTGTTATATAAAATTTCATTGCAATAGCTCAAATGGTTCTAGAGATATCGTGTGGAAACGAAAGTGTTTTAACAGACAGAATTTGCTTATTTATGACCTTGACCTTTGACCTTTTGACCTCAAAATCAATAGGGGTCTTCGTTAGTCCATAGGGAGTTGCTATGCTAAATTTCATTGCAAAAGCTCAAAGGGTTCTCGAGATATCGTGTGGAAACGAAAGCGTTACAGACAGACAGAAAGACGGACGGACAAACCCAAATTAATATCCCCCACTTTTCAAGCGGGGGACAATAAATATATGTGGTGTCTCATCAAGTTATATAAGTTATATATACTTTCTGCAAATAAGACAATTCCACTCCATCACTTTTAAAAGTTATGAAATATTATTTGGTAAAAATTATTTTCTCTCCGTGTCGGATAAAAAACCGCCTCTTCTTGAAATATTCATGATCACGTTGTCTCGCATGTTTACAGCAAACAATGGTCCAGGATTTCTGAATGAACCGAAAAGCATGATGGTCTACTACGTTTTTACTACAAACACGTGAGTTAGGGATTGTCAATATTGAGAGCACATCAGAGTTGGTTGCTTTTTCTACCTAGGAATAATCACGTGCAATTGTCTTTTCAATGGACATTTTCGGTTGGGTGAACTACAGCTGTGGCGACTATGGACAAAGAAGCGCGGAAACCATGTTGTGCCATAATGAAATAACCAATACAAACAAATGATAAAATTTGATCAATCAAAATGGTTATTAGATATATTCGATTCTGCATCTCTTAATGGTTAAAACAACAAAAAATATTTACATAAATATTGCCAAAACCAGAATACTACTAGATAATATAATTACATTCTTTACATCTGAACCACAGTATTTCTGACCCCTTGAAAAAAATATAAAAAATCTTGCAAGTAGGTTATCAGCATTGGCTCGGGCTAATTCGAAAGTGAAATTTGGAGTTTGGCAGTAGATTGTAGTGAATGAATAAAATTTAGTAGTGAAAGATATTGGAACCTATTTTACTTGTCAGATTTCTTCGAACTAGTTGATTTTTATTTTAACTGTTCTATTCCCCCACCCAATTTAAAAAAAACCGATGCTACCTACCTGAATTAATTTTTCTTAATGGTGTTCATCGAAATGCTTGGTTGTGCTTCTCAAACTGGAATAGTTTTTAGAGGCCTGGAATTCCTTGACCAATTTTATTTTATTAGCCCAACTATATTTCTAGGAAGTCAAAATGTATGGTATGTAAGTTTCATCTACATATGTTATATAGTTCATATTAAAAAACGAAAAGGGATAATTGACGATATCCCATTCAGGGTGTAAACATAGCAGTTTAAATTACTTTCCATACATTGTATTTGACTTAAATATCTTTTTGCGCATAATATGCGCTCCATACTGAAGATCCGTAAATGTTCACCCAACCGAAAATGTCCACTAGCAGTACAGCACGGGGAAACTCTAATTTTTTTTTAGGACCTGTACAATGGAGTGGGGAAAACTTTAATTTTCATCATTGTTAATCATTTGTATGCAAATATGAGCATGGGATTAGTAGATAATAATGTAAATAATGCATCAAGTCTTTCTGAGAGCGATTTAAAAAAGTAGCCTTTTTGAAAAACACATGTAGTATTTTATGTAGTAACACATATACATTAAATGCAACTCATTGAGCTGATTGGTCTATTTATGTCCCTCACTGAACAGACGTCACAAAAAATATTTTCCTGGACCTGATGATTCTCGCGATGCTTTTCCCGCGCACATGCGCAGATCCAGGATAAACGTCAGTCCTTTATAAATATGCATGAGAGTATCATGTTCTTTTACATGACTAGTACTTTGTAAATACCGAATAAAATTTTTCGAATTTGCAAAAATGCTTCATTTTTGGTAGCTTATCATACTCCAGAAATTTTTGTTCGGTTTCAGCTGTGCAAAAATACTGTTTAACACGGCATACATATCTTTAAGATTAGATTTTTGTAGGGGCACCCCTGCCCGAATCGAAATTCACAAAAAACTACAAAAAATAAGGAAACCTGATTTGCATCACCTGCTTGAAATTTATGCCATTCATTCTTATAGTCAGACTAGCTCAGTTGATGTAAGCGTTGACTTTTTGCAAAATGGATACTTTCTTTTTAAAGTCGGGGGTTCGAATCCACCTGGTACAACACTTTTAAACTTTTAAATTTCGCCTTTTCAAAGACTATTTAGATTTTTTATATAGATTTGTGTATTTTTCCTTCAATTATCTATCCTTTATGCATGCCCATTCCTGATATATATAAGAAACACTAAAGAGATATCAAATCGTAACAATCCAATGTACAGTTCTCAGTCAACGGAACGAACCTCAGTATATCGCAGGTACGATAAGGCTTCCCAGAGAATATTTAAGCATTGAATTCATATTTTGGGATGTCTTCGGTGCTATAACACACCTGGCCGTGCCGACAAATTGAATACCGCGCGTTAGCGCGGTATGATAATTTGTCGGCACGGCCAGGTGTGTTATAGACATCCCAAAAATAACGCGCGGTAAGACATCCCAAAATATGAATTCAATGCTTATATTTACATTCTCTAATTTTCCTTCTTCATAATTAATTATTTCGTTAATCTTAAATGTGAATTTAGCGCCCTTCAAAACTGGTGTGCTTTATAGAAGTAAGAGCCGTTTGTGACGTCAAATGACGTTAAATGACGTTGCAAAGTTAAATAACGCAAACAAACATTGCGAGGGGAAAAGTGACAAATTAATTCTTAACGCACATTACGTTAATTTTTACGTTAATTTTTCAGGGTTATAGTTTTTCATTAAATTGAAATAAAACATTTTACATTTTGGTGTTCCTAGAGTATTGAAAATGCATATAGTTCTTACTGTGTATTCTAACGCGCGGTGACAAGGTTTCTCGTGTGTTATAGAAATTTGAACGTAGTGAATTTCTAATGGATTTCATAAGGAAAATTACACTGAATGTAAATATTGTAGTGTACTCTCTGCATGAACTTCTCTGAACTACAAATGTATGACGTCATAATTGAAAATGACGTCAAGTCACTGCATACTTGAGCTGTAATGATGGGGAGAATGTCATAAACTTAACACCTTATTTCAATCTGCATAAAAAGTTGCGGAATTCTAGTTTAAAATGAACGTGATTTTATCATTTTTTCTAAGTGTAATATATCCGAATAATATAGATAACCTAGCTTTGTTAATCTTGTTTAGGAATCAGCGTGTTCAAACTTCGTACGAAAATATACGTTTGACATTTACCCTTTTTTATACCCGTGGACAGAGGCAGAATTCAAAACATGTGTGTAAAAGAGCCTTGCGCAGGTTGTAAATGAGAATTTATTTAATATCTTTTGTGGAATTATGTAAGAAGAGTTCCCCTCTAACTGAATCTTGCTTGGGAAAAATGAATGATGGCTTTGTTTTAAAACAGTTGACGATATTCGGCGGAAAATACCCTCAGATTTGTCGGTAAGTTGAAGTGAATCTGAAATAAATTGTTCCAAAGAAATAGTATAACTTTTCCAAAGCACATTTCGGTTTCACAAGGATGCAACGAGTTTATTTATGTGATAAAGATTAATAAAAATTGTGTTAACCACCTGCGCCGAAGCGATTTATGTGAAACATTTCAAAAAAGAAGAAATGACCGTCAAGTGATCAACAAGGTCATGTGACATCGTAACAAATATGTTTATATATAGCCTAGGGGATCCTTTCTATGAATTTGGCGCACTGAAGTACATAACTTAAAAATAAAACTACAAATCAACTTGGCAATGCAGTGGTTCGTTTTAAATGCATTTTAAGCTCCGGGGAGCCTTAACAGTAAGTAGTACTGCGTATAAGCACACTTTCTTCGAGGACAAGAATAACTCACTATGTGTTACGCAATACGGGTATTTTTGGCAGCATTGGGCTGCGATGAATTTCATTTGTATATATTCCTTATAATTAAACACATTGATTTTGGCTACATATTTCAGTAATACTCCATTTCATTTAGGCTTATATAATTTTTACACTACAATGTATAATGACATGTTTCATTATATCCACGGATAAATAGCCTAGACATAAAGAACAGAATTTCAGAGACAGTAGACACTGCCTATATGAACCATGAGAAGTAAAGACAAATATCAGTCAGTACATATGGGGATAACAAACTCAGAAAATCAATGAAAGGGTTCCTCCTACCTCTACTAACTGAAATAAAAATTCAAGAAAAACAAATTATCATATGTATTTAGCCTAATGTCATTAATCGGAACGGAAATCGACAAGCTTTTTCTAGAGGAAAAAAACCAAGCCCGGTCCTATAGGTCAGATCCCTATTTATAATGAAGTGATCCTTTGTTTTGAGGTGCATAAATTTTGCGATAATCTTACACAAGGCTTTTACAAAATGGTTTGATTTTTATGAAAGTCAAAGAATCAAAAAAAGTTTCTCTTTGGAAAACTATTTTAAAATTTGTGATTGTAAATGCAGGGTAATTTTAAAAATAACTCCTAGCAAACTATCCTGCGTTTAAAGTATATGTCTTGCTTACTTTCATTGACCATTTCCCATTTCAGATTCAACTTTTTTGTGTGAAATCCAAGGAAATCAAATATCCAGAAACAACCTATACCATTGCTACTGTATGTTGAACCACAACGTGACGACCTTAGATGGAACAGTGCTGCTAAATTTAATAAAGGAACGAAGGAAATTACTTGCAGTCGATAAAAGAAAGTTATCAAAATATGTACGTGGGAAAACCTGTGCTGAAGATGTGAGACCATCCTCCAAAGCACTAGGGTGTATGGGAATAATGGTTATTATTCTATACTGGGTCACTCTATTGTTTTCTGAACATTTTAAATGTATATCTCGGGAAAAACTAAACATTCCAGTCACAGGTGTAAACTAAAAAGAAAAGAATAAAAAAAAATCATCAACATCTGTGAGGAGTGAAAAATTATTTGAAGGTACGTTAGTTAAAAATCTATGATGAAAATGTTAGGAATTTATATATCAATTACAACAAATGAACGACTTTCCAATACTTTATTAAACCATTCTGTATGGATTATTAATGTTTAGGATTTTGAATCATTGACATCTACTTTTTCGATAAAAAAATGAACTCGTAAAATAACTTACTTTGTCATTAGTCATTTAAAATACATAGTGATTGTACGTACAAAGTTGTTATTACAAAGATGCTGCATGCAATTTCTAATAGTAGTTTCCGCCATGTTTTAATAAATATATACATAATAATATTGCATTTTATCTCTTTTTCTGTCCATTTCTTTTCTAAGAAACACATATAATATTTTCCCGGATCTAAATCCAAAAACGTTTGAAAACCTGCATTAAAAAAATGCAATTTCCAATTTCAAGTGTAATTCTTTAGATAATTGAAAAATTAAAAAAAATGTGATTGATAAAAGTATACAATCAAGTCAAATCTATGAACATATCATAAAACAGACTTTCGAAAAGCTAGAGGTAAAATATGGTACCTACAAGGCGTTAACACCCGCTATTGACCGCACTCACCGGTCCTAAACCCTATAAAATGACCAGTTTGACAGAATTTTCAGTAGATAAACAGAAGTACAGAAGCAATGAAACAGGTCAGACAAAAAAGATCACGAAATTAGATTTACTAATAGACAAGGTAACTGTGTTCGTGCTTTATCCACTACTAGTATTCTTGTCTTACCGAATTTATTAGACACCGTTTTATATTTCTCTTTTACATTGATGAAGCTAATCATTGCATGTTTTAATTGTAAAAGTACATATATAACTTAATAATTCATTTAATTAAATAATTCATAGCCGCTGAGTATTCAGAAATGTAAATGGCGAGGGGGAAGTGCGCAAACCACTTCAAAGTCTAACAATTTCAAAATGTTTGCAGATAAAATTAAAATTCATATTCACATTGGGACACAAATTCAATATCTAACTAACCCCAGTTGTAGATTGATTTCCTTGTGGGATTATGACCACTTTTTCCTTTCTTAGGAAAATAAAAGGTCTCTTTGATATTTTCCTTTTCTATTATCTTTTCTGTTCTCTGTCTTTCCAGGAATAAAATGAGACATTTCTATAAAAAATATTTGATTACAAGGTTTTTCATATGCACCAGAATAATATATCAGATAACTAGAGCAAAGCTCGTTGCAAAGCAACGAGTAGGTCTTCCGTCCTGTTTTGACCGGAAGTGACGTCAACAAAAGAAAGCAATGAGCTTAGTTGTCTCCAGTCACTTTATAATTTCAATTTTGCATCAAAACTTTGAAAAATAAACTATTTTTGGCTACTTCCGGTTTAACCGGAAGTGATGCCGATGGACGGAAAATTAAGTTTTATGCTTCCAGTGACATATGTTTCCCAAAAACTTGTCAAGAACGGCAAAAATATGCATTTTCTGACTACTTCCGGTTTGACCGGAAGTGAAGTCACCGGACGCATTTTGACGACTTCAATAAATTAAACTTGACATTTTGAACAACTTTGCTTCTTGAATGTATTACAAATTCTAAATACTTTTTGAGATATCTGGAAAAAAATTTTGGCCCCTCTAGATCCCTTAATTTAGGGGTCAGCCCTTTTTCCAGATATCATTTGAAAGATCTTGTAATTCTGCACAAATTTTGTTCTATATGTTTTAACAAAATATTTTTAGTTTAGAAGATAAAAAGCAAAATATGTGTAAATTTTCGCTCTTTTAGGCGTTCTAATTTTTGACCCCTATATAGCACCATTTTGAATAGAGAAATCGAAAAACAAAAACCGCCTTGCACAACTTCAATCCTTGTATTATCTAAAATCAGTAAAATTTTTGCTCCAGGTTTAGCCGTCTCTGAGCCTTTGTCTGGAAACGAAAGCCTATAAATTTTCGTTTAAAGGGAAATAACTCAAAACCGGAAGTGACTTTTTGAAATTTAGATAACATTCTGATAGAGTTTAGTAACTTCTATAAACTCTGAAAATTTGAGCAAAATCTGTTGAGAAATGAGTGAAATATGGGCCTCAAAGTTGGCGTCTAGGAAAAGGAAAAAAAAAGAATAATAAGAATAATCTTAATCATCAGAATCAGTAGAAGGTCTTCCGTTGGAAATGGAAGACCTTAATTATTTTTTAAAAAGCCTATCTAATACTCTGCTATTGTTCTCGACGATACTTTTATTCGTGACATCTGTCATTGTGCTTTAACAAACATTTAATGGACATTTAAATAAGATACGCATAAATTGCCTAGATATAAAATAAGTTAATAATGACTTTTCGACCATGAAAAACGTTTGATTTTATACTTATAAACTCATGCAACACAATACATTGTATAATTGAAAAATGGTTGCAATACATTGACATGGTAAAACTTGGTAGTAATTCATTTTTTTTACATCTGTAAAGCATTTGATTGTAAAGATCGCTAGAATGATTTTTAAATTAAAAAAAACTATTTTTTCATCTGCGTCACATATGCTTCAGCAATAAAACATATAGAGGTAACAAACGGTATTTCAGATGAAAATTCCATTACAAAAAATAAAGACAGACCACCAAAACATCAGAGATGGGATAAGGTGCCATTGAGGAGTAAGCATCTCCTGCCGACCGGTAACATCCGCCAAGTGCCCCTTGTCATGGTCGGCAAATAACTCGAAAATGGAAAAATCAGTCGTCAATTCAGTGTATAAATAATGTACTAACAATTAGTATAAAAAACGTTAGTCAGCATTTAACTCAATGATAAATTGATTTTGTATCGACCATAAAACAAACAAAATGATGACTTTAAACGAGACTGCTCATATGCCTATTTCATCAACTTGTTTGTCAATAATTTACCTCGTTTTAGAAGTTGTAAATACGTAGAACATGCTTTTGCGTATCGAATCGACTGAGATATATAAACTCTGTATGCAAATGGTGAAGGTATATTGCTGCAGAAGTATGGGAATTTGTCGATACAAAAGTTGAAATCATCAAGTTTATCGTAGAGCCTTGTTGTTAGATTACCATTTACGTATTTTCAAGTAAATTTTCCAAATGTGAAACAGATGTGTCAGACACTGTGTTATCTTTTATCTCAAGCTCACCAGGATATATCGTATCGACATAAGAATATATGGAAATTGTCATTTTTATTTGGCAATACACTGTTGATATATATCAATGTCGAAATGAAGGCCACAGTAAGTGTTTTTTTTTTCTTTTCATGCATAAGGTTTTTGAACACTTTCTGCGTCATATGATTGATTGTTTGTTGTTGTTGGAGACGTGGAGAGCTACATTTGTTTCCTATGATCGACACTCAGGGCAAGGAGGGATATTTTTCGTGCCAGTATCTACTGCAACACAGGACCTCGGTTAATACGATCTCATCCGAAGGACCGGTTTCTCCACGTCCAGCAGTGAGATTCGGATCCGCGGCGTAAGAATCCTTGATTCGCGACTCTAAATCAGACACTCTAACACCTGCGCCACTCGAACGACTGTAGAAATTGAGTAGCGCGGGATGTTTCCTGCCAGCACCTACTGTAACAATTTGTTCATAGTGAAAAATTATCACCAATTCTAAACATTTCTGTACTTTTTAGTTCATTTTTCATCAATATACATAAATTTTAAAGATATGTATGCCGTGTTAAACAGTATTTTTGCACAGCTGAAACCGAACAAAAATTTCTGGAGTATGATAAGCTACCAAAAATGAAGCATTCTTGCAAATTCGACGAAATTTTATTCGGTATTAACAAAGTACTAGTCAGGAAAAGAACATGATATTCTCATGCATATTTATAAAGGACTGACGATTATCCTGGATCTGCGCATGTGCGCGGGAAAAGCATCGCGAGAATCATCAGGTCGAGGAAAATATTTTTTGTGACGTCTGTTCAGTGAGGGACACAAATAGACCAATCAGCTCAATGAGTCGCATTTAATGCATTTATGTGTTACTACATAAAATACTACATGTGTTTTTCAAAAAGGCTAGTTTTTTTAAATCGCTCTCAGAAAGACGATGCATTATGTACATTATTATCTACTAATCCCATGCTCATATTTGCATACAAATGATTAACAATCATTTATGATGAAAATTAAAGTTTTCCCCACTCCATTGTACAGGTCCGTTTGTTTAGAGTGTCCCCATGCTGTACTGCTAGTGGACATTTTCGGTTGGGTGAACATTTACCGATCTTCAGTATGGAGCGCATATTATGCGCAAAAGATATTTTATGTCAAATACAATGTATGGAAAGTAATTTAAACTGCTATGTTTACACCCTGAATGGGATATCGTCAATTATCTCTTTTCGTTTTTTAATATGAATTACATAACATATGTAGATGAAACTTAAATACCATACATCTTGCCTTCTTAGAAATATAGTTGGGCAATAAAATAAAATTGGTCAAGGAATTCCAGGCCTCTAAAAACTATTCCAGTTTGAGAGCACGACCAAGCATTTCGATGAACACCATTAAGAAAAATTAATTCAGGTAGGTAGCATCGTTTTTTTTTAATTGGGTGGGAATAGAACAGTAAAAATAAATAAACTAGTTCGAAGAAATCTGACAAGTAAAAAAGGTTCCAATATCTTTCACTACTAAATTTTATTCATTCACTACAATTTACTGCCAAACTCCAAATTTCACTTTCAAATTTGCCCGAGCCAATGCTGATAACCTACTTGCAAGATTTTTTGTATTTTTTTCAAGGGGTCAGAAATACTGTGGTTCACATGTAAAGAATATAATTATATTATCTAGTAGTATTCTGGTTTTGGCATTCAGTATATTGACGCGCAGATTTATATATGATATTCTGTGGAATACTTTTTGTTGTTTTGAACCATTAAGAAATGCAGAATCGAATGTGTCTAATAACCATTTTGATTGATCAGATTATATCGGTTGTTTGTATTAGTTATTTCATTTTGGCACAACATGGTTTCCACACTTCTTTATCCATAGTCGCTGACAGCTGTAGAAGTTCACCCAACCGAAAATGTCCATTGAAAAGACAATTGCACGTGATTATTCCTCAGTACAAAAAGCAACCAACTCTGAGGTGTGGTCACGTATTGACAATCCCTAACTCACGTGTTTGTAGTAAAAACGTAGTAGACCATCATGCTTTTCGGTTCATTCACGAGATTGGACCATTGTTTGCTGTAAACATGCGAGACAACGTGATCATGAATATTTCAATAAGAGGCGGTTTTTTATCCGACACGGAGAGAAAATAATTTTTACCAAATAATATTTCATAACTTTTAAATGTGATGGAGTGGAATTGTCTTATTTGCAGAAAGTATATAACTTATATAACTTGATGAGACACCACATATATTTATTACTTTTAAAATAAAACACTAATACGGCATATATAGCTTTAAATAGATATATGCATTGATAATAAAATTTACATCTTTTAGAAAACATTGCTATTTGGCCTTGTGTTGTTAGGATAGCACAAAATATGACGGGTCATGTACTTGGTATCCCATAATTAAATTGATAATGTCCTACCTGAGCCTTCTGGGCTTTCGTATACCTGGTAGTCAATTCATCTTTCCTCATTATAAGTATGTATATTGTTCACTGATTTTTGGAGCACCATTTTTGTTCCAGGAGCACCATTTCTGTTTTTTACAATCACATGATAATTTTATTGCCCTCTTTTGCCGTCTATGGCGTTACGTTGTAAGAATTATCATGACTTTTTATAGCAGTTTTCTAGTAAAACATTGCCATGCTGCAAACTCTTTTTAGGTAAAATTAAAATAGATATCAAAATCCATGAAGCTTGAAGTCTACACTATCTGTTATGAAGATTTCATTAAATTTTTGGATGAGGCATTTTTTTACCCTTCGTGTTCTTATAGTTCTTTTATGTATTGCTTTACGGCACACGGATGATAACATCAAAATGTGTATTACAGCGTCACGTTTCCTATTTGCTAAAAAAGTGAATAAGTAGCTAGGGGACTTTAATCGATAAGTAACAAGGAATTTCATTGATTTACATAATCTTGAGTTTCCCTTTATTTTCTCCATAAACAGACGAGGAACCAATCTTGCACACATGAGACCTCCTGAAAATATTTTTCGAAAGTTAGGGACAATATTCTTACAATCATTCAACTAAATAGGCAATCTAATATTCAAAGAGTACAGTGACAGCGTTTTTTGTTATTACCATTATAGCTGTTTATATGTTTTGTTCTATCTAGGCCTGGGGTTTGATGATAAAGATATCTCTCAGAATAACCCTCATTTCAAACGTACATGTATACTTAAGAACTGGTGATATTTTATCATATTTTTTTCTTCTGTAATCAATTAAAGTCTGTTTGGGCTTTATTACGAACTGTTCTCCATTGCGCCGTAGAGTCATCAAAATCTCGCCATTTTTGTGTATTGTGTTTATCACTTTCCATTTCTAATGCTAGGGAAACTGCCAAAGTAATCAGCAAATACCTTGAAATTTTCCATTAGATAATACAAAAGACGGTGAATTAAAAATAAGATAATTTTCCCCCAATCTTTTCACTATAATACTTTTATTTCTAAATAATACTCGTGTATTCTCTGATTACATTTTTAGCTTAAGTTTCAAATGCAAAGCGAACTCAAGGATCAAGAACAAAATTGTTAGTATCGAGAAGAAAGTCTTTTCAATAGAAATACACTTGTGGAATATGAAAACCCTTGCTCTAATGGTTCAAAAGTTATGGTTAAGGTTAAAGTTAAAAGTGGGTCAAAATCTAAGGCCAAGATCAAAAGGTCTAATATTATTATCCATGGAAAGGTCTACAATGTCAAGATAAAGTGTCTTTTATGGAACCCAAAGAAAGGACTGTTCACCGGGAACACACCTGTGAAGCCATATCTTTACCTGCACCCATTCAACCACTTAAACGTTATAGTCAAGGTTACGTTAAAAGTTTTGCAGACAGACAGCTAGACGGACGGACGCAGCAAAACTTTTCATCCCAAATCTTCGATCGGAGGGTCATAAAAATCCAATTAATAAGCCATTTAAAATTTGCAAAGAGTACCTAAAACACCAGAGATGACATGAGGTGTATTGGAGGAGTAAGCAACCAATGCCATTGATTAATAGGTAGGCCTATTATTGCAATCACAGAATGTTATTTAAATACACTATACAAACAGAAATTAAAGTACATTGTCACTTACCATTATCTATTTTAGAATTAATCGACATTTGCATCTTTATTATTATAATACTCAATACTAACTAGAATCTCTGGTGAACTACTACGACTAATTTTCTGATTAAGAGTCATCTCATGAAGTGGATTTTTTATTCTTTCGCGTTTTTCTTTATTTTTCTGGACAAACTTTCAATGTCCAAAGGAGGTACACTCACATAGAGCGTAAATCAAAGTAAATTTTTTGTATGTTTTTGATAGGAATAATTCAGGCTTTTTATCCTTATAGGTTATTATGGCTGCTTCAAAGACAATGATCAACGAATTCTTAAAGGAGGCAAAATTCAAAGAAAATCATCCATGACAAACACTTTCTGTATCAAGAATTGTTTCTCCAGAGGTTATTCGTTTGCTGGAACGCAGGTAAATTGATGAGCAAAAACATTTGTGAAAATATGTCATTGTTTTGTGATCTAATGTTATTTCATGTGGGAATTGTTTGTTTTTTAATGTCATGAAGAAGATTTTCATGTGAAACTTTCTTCGGGAATTTAATGTTGTTGAGATATATAACATTTGTCATATTTTTTCTTGCTTAGAAGATTTCCAATTTACTTAAAACAATCATATTATGAAAATAATATGAAATTTAAATTAGTTCAAATAAAATGTTTTATGTTGAAAATCTCATATTTCAATTCATCACAAGTCCAACCATTTTATTTTTAAAAGACAAATTTTCCAGAAATTTAATTTTACAGAAACCAGTGCTTAGGCAATTTGAATTCAGATTTCGTTTTGCTCTTTCCTCGAAAGAATGGCCGATTATATATTTTATTTTTACATATTTTATGCTTTTACTTACTATTTGATGAAATTTAGTCAATTGACTAAAAATGTAACCGAATTTCTTTGTTTGAAACAAATAAAACAAATTTTAATTTAATTTGATGTACACATCATATGTACAGAAATATTTTGGAGGGTGAAAAATTCTTACCTTTTTAAGCCGAACTAGGACAAAATTAACCTTGATTTATTTTTTAGTTACATTGGTATGTTGTAAGCTTATATTATAATAATATTAAAACGATTAATATTTTCTGTAAATGGATTAAATGTATACTTTGAAACCACTTATTTTCGTAGGGAATAATTTTCATTGTTTTGAGGTATAAAAAGACCTGCTAATTTATGTGCACAACGAAATGTAAAATTCAATGTCTATAATTGTGCAACATTTCTTGATTCACGAAATCAAATCCCTATAAACCTTTATCTTTTCCTCGAACCTCGAAAATTCAACCCCACGAAAACAAGTGATATTACAGTATTTACAAGACCACAAATTTTGCTTATTTCCGGCAATTTATTTTTAATCTTAGTATGGAATAGAGTGTTTCTGCGGAGATGAAACATATTTGACACCAGACAAACGTCGAGATGACACGAATGTGAGGAACACGTGTGTTCGGGAGATTCTAACGATTATTGTGGCGGGCATTGGCGTTTGTCTATTTATTCCACTGGATATGGTAAATATATAAACCTACATTCATTCACAATATATTGATTGAACTGTAGCAATGGCACACAGTGATTAAAACACGTACAATACTTCTCTAACTTCTCTAGATTTTCATCAGCAGCAAAAGAATCTCACAGAAACATGTGTATGATATTAAATAATTATTCTTTTAATCTAAATAAGAATAGTTGAATGAAATATATGGAGATGACGAACCGTATTCAAGCTCAAAAGTCCATAAAAACAATACGAAATAGATAAAGAGCAAAAACGGACCCCCGAAACATCAGAGGTGGGATCAGGTGCCATGGAGGAGTGAACATCCTCTGCCGACCTTCACGTCCACCATGGCACCTTGTCATGATCAGGAAATAACGGGAAAATCCGTCGTCAATTCAGTGTGTAAATAATGGTATGAAAACATAACAATTGGTATGAAAAATGTGAGTCTTGCAGCATTATATACGAGGGTTGATCCAAAAGTAATGTTACTGTGTTCATATCTTTAACATTTGGCGTCATATCTTCAAATATAATGTACCAAAAGATGTTTAAAATAATTTTAATTAAAATTATAAATGTCATTTAATAATGTTGAATTGAATTCATTTAATAGACGTTTAAAACATTTAACATAGGGGGTGTCACCGCGTCACAAATAAACGTCACGTTTTAATTAAAATGTATATTGTTAGAATGAAAAAAGACAAACACATTAAAAAGCATATAAAAAGCGTCTAGTCGCCAAATATTTTAAAAGACAATATTTACATTTTCTAGTCCTTAGTTAAAAATTATATGACATCATAGTTTTTTTTTCAAGAACATTGTTGTTTCTATCTGATGTATTGCACAAAGGAAATGTCGAAATGGAATAATAAGCCGAAAAGAGATGTAATGCGTTTTTCCTTCAAAATCGCGAAATTGTCTCTTCTGAAAAATGTAAACAAGAGACTTGTTTATAGATCTGGTTTAAGTGATTTTGGGCAGGTCATGGGTCATTTAATGATCAGTTGAAGACAGAAAGCCCGAAAGATTGGAGGTCTGGAAACTTTTAATAGCGTGTGACGTTGTCAAGAAAGAGAGACGTGTCACGGTCAGAGTAATATGAGAATATGAGAAAGTTTCTCTTATGGTACTGTTCAAAGAATTTTGATAGAGGACTAAATTATAAATAAAGTGCATGCACAATTGTTGCCAATAATTCTTAAAGAGAGTAAAATATGTGAATTTATTTTTTAATGAAACGAAAGGGGAAGTGCTTCGGTGAATGACGACGCACTTTCTTCATATGACGTTATATAGGTGCGGCTACCATCATAATCGTACTTTGTATATAATCTTGAAAAGTATAAATCAATTTAATTTTAATTTTTAAAGACTTATTTGAAGTAAACATAGCCTCCATCATTTATAATTTTGTTAATTTACGTCGACTAGTAGAATTTTTTTTCGAAGTTGTGACATTACTTTTGGATCAACCCTCGTATTTGGTAAATGGTATTTGATGGAAATGTCATTGTATCGACCATAGAACTTAAGAAATGATGACTTTAAACGAGAGTGTCGATAGTCTTGTTTCATCAACTTGTTTGTACATAATAATCCTCGTTTTAGATATAGTCCAAACGTAGAGAATGCTCCTGCGTATCGAATAAACTGAGATATAAACCTGGTATGCAGGTGATGAAAGTATATTTCTGCATAATTAATGAAGGGAAGTTGAAGACTGAAAAGTAATAGTCATCTCGTTTGTCATAAAGCTTGATTGTTTAATACATAGAATCATTAACGTCTTTCTCAGGTAAAACATCTATTAAAAAATTGGAACAGATATGTCAGACCCTGTGGTATCTTTAATTTCAAGCTCACTGGGATATATCTTATCGACATAAGAATGTAAATGAATATTGTTAGTTCATTTACAATCCGTCCTCATTATATCTAAATGTCGAGTTAAAGGTCACATCAATTGTTTTCTTCTTTTCACGTATAAGATGTTTGACAAATTCTGCTTCAAATGATGAAAATTGTGAAATTTCATAACTGTAAACAAAATACAAAGTCAGTTTCATCGAATTAAAAACAGTTTTTGGGATGAAAACTGGATATTGGAAGAATCAATAGTCTTTTATTCTCAAATCATTTTTGAGTTGCCATGTTTTTGAAAATAACAGAACAAGCGAACAATTCAAATACATTGTATACATATTTCAAGGCAAACGACAGGTTTCTCTCATACCAATTTAAAAAAGTCCAGAATAAATATAAATTATCAACACCCTTCGTTAAAAATAAAACTAACGGAAATATCAAATTTTAAAATAAAAACCTTCTCTTTAATTGTGGGGAAAAATTCCCTTGTAAGGTAATTAAAAAAGAAAAAAAATCCATTTAGTTATGTATGTTAGGTCAATACGGCGAACATCAATTTTATAGGCTTGTTTCGGCAAGTACATTTTTTACACTTTGAGCCAAAGATTTGATTCAAATATTACATGAAATATTACTCCAAAAGAGATAAATAAAACTGTTCATAATTGTAACAATAAACGAGTAATGATAAACAATTATATCAAAACATCAATAAATTACACATTTTTATAACTAACTAAAAATGTAAAGTAAAAGAATATCATGAAGAAATTGTATAATGGATTATATTTTCTATTAACACATGCTACATAACATATTTACAATCATTTTCCACTTTCAGGCACTTTTACGACTTCTGTTCTACCTTCAAGCACGTCTACGACTTCCGATCCACTTTTAGACACGTCCACGACTTCCGATCCACTTTCAGACACGTCCACGACTTCCGATCCACTTTCAGACACGTCCACGACTTCCGATCCACTTTCAGACACGTCCACGACTTCCGATCCACTTTCAAGCATTTCTAATTTTCCACAATTAATCACTAGCACGACTTTTGTTCCGCTTTCAGACACGTCCATGACTTCAGATCCACTTTCAGACACGTACACGCACTCGACTCCGCTTATGGACACATCCACAACTACTGCATATGAATATACACAAAATAATATCACCGACAACTGTACGAGTCAGTGCTGGTGTTCATCCCAAAATACTACCAACTGGGACAGAAGTACTTTGCATAGCAAAATAGAGGAGCGCAAAAAATCACTTACAGTTGACACAAAGAAAACTTCCAAGTTTATACGAACTAAAACATGTGCTGAAGATGAGAGACTATCATCTAAGTCTATAGGACTAGTCGGGTGTATATTTATTGTATTGTATTGTGTGATATTTTTGACTTTTGACTTCTTAAATTTAGCCATTTATTGTCTATCTCGGAAAAAATAAATGTGCCAACAGCGTCTTGAAACATTTAATACCCGATATTACTTATATGAGGTTAAAAAATGTATTCAAGAGTATTGAGTTAGGATACATTCCTAAAGAAAGCAAATGAAGTTAATGAACAGTGATCATCATTTTCCTAAATACAAGAAACAACAAGAGGTTCTTGGGTCACGTCGCTCACCTGAAAAACTTTGGCCAAGCTGTTTTTTTAAACCAGATTTTCCCTTGTAATATCTATTTTGGATGGACGACGGACAAACAGACGATTAACAATGAGTGATCAGAAAAGCTCATTTTAAGCTCAGATGAGCTTAAATATTTAACATCGTGAGTAATGGCTTCTGGAAACAGTTGGCATCAGGTGCCTGGGGGGGGGAGTAAGCATCCCCTGTCCACTTTAATCTGTATATCTTACACTTTTATCTGTAGAATTTACACTTTATTCTGTAAATTTGACACTTTAATCTGTAAAATTCACACTTTAATCTGTAAATTTACCCTATAATCTGTAAAATTTACACTATAATCTGTAACATTTACACTTAAATCTGTAACATTTACACTTTTATCTATCAAGGAATTATCTTTTGCCTTATTTGGCCATTTGAATTTCTAACAAACTGAATCTGCATAATTTTAGTTAGCTATGCATTGAATATCATGTAAATCTTTGGTGACTGCGTAACTATAAAAAAAGATGTATTTTTGGCTAGGCAATGCATTATGACGTCGTGAATTGCGTCAATTTCCTCATATTCTGAAAAAGTCTACAAAATGGTCAATTTTTGAAACTATTTTTAGATATTTCATATAGAGCGCAACCTCTGATCTAAAATATGCAACTACAAAATGATAGAACTGTTTCTGAGGTTAAAAAGACATGTTTAATTTTTCTAAAAGACCTGGAATTTAAGGAAAAATTTTGATAGGAAATGAAAGCACTCAGTCTCTATTTTATTTTAATGCTTCAAATGGAAGTGCTAATCAATTAATTGGTATATCCATATTGCCATTTTATGCATAAAGTGAACCGGCCTCTTTACACGTTTATCTTTAAGGAAATGACAAAAAAAAAGTGTCGAAGTGGCACTAATACGCCTCCGTATTTCATTGAAGGAAGAAACAAATACAAAAAAAACGATTGCTACGCCATGAAAAATTGTTTTTTAAAAAGCACACAACAGGTAAGAAAAAAAATATTAGCAACATAACATTGATAACAATTGTAACACAGATAAAAAAGAATAATAATTTAAATAGATATTGTTTTCTTCAAGCTCAAAGTACATCAGACAATGTGTATTTATTTCAATGATTTACTATGGAAAGACAACTGGTTCAAAATTCTGTAATTCATAAAATGCACACATTGAAACCTTAATCATAATTTCATATTTTGTCAATTGTTCTATCAAAATTTGTTATTTGTAAATAATCAAATATAACTTGTAAAATGTAAATGCAAGGCTTAGTTATATCCATGATCACGTGTTAATGGACATTTCTCGTTGATAATTTTTTAAATATTTATTTGACTCCTCTACTTATTTCCCAGAGGTCAATAATACCTGAAAGGGGGGTCCGAGAATTTTTCTCGATTGTTTTACTTAAATTATAAAATTCATAAGCGAAAATCCGACTTCAACACCCCTCCTGCTAAATCTGCCAGTAACACTGCAGAAAAGGTTTTTTTTAATGTAAAAATCGAAAATTATTCAGCAATGTTGGGAGTTTTACTAAAGTATACCCCTGCTAATATTTAATTGATATTTAGTCTTAATTAAGGATAGACATGAAATTAATTTATAAACATTTCATCGGCCTT